AAAACCAGATATGTCAGACATGACGCTTGTAACTGTGTGAATATTAGCAAAGTGTTGATTACCTGTTATTTCCAACTATGACATAGGTCAAGGAGCTTGTACAGGAACATTCAGGCTTAGGAAGTCATATCCAAGAACTATCAGTTTCAATAAAAAAGCAACCAGCTATGACTATAAATTGAATCTCAGGCTTCTTCCTCAAACATCTCATTATCTGGATAACTTCTTTAAAAGGTAAAAAAAACAGTACATTCTTTTTTTTTCTTTTTTTGTGGGATGATAGTAGTAAGCAGTTTATCAATCATATGCTTCATTTCCAAACCTCCAAACCTTTCCAAGCAGTAAAGCCTAAAAGAGACACCTACAAAAATCAGTCACCTTTTCACCATTAAAACACCCACAACATAAATCCAGGCTAATGAAACTTATTGCAGTGACAAGATTGATATCGTATACAGAACACACCCTTCAAGGTTAAGAAAGAGCAACAGAAGATCAACGAAAGAGTCTCCTGTTAACCTGTAAAAGCACATTTCAGCCAGTAATAGGCTGTGACAGAAAATGACCACCATGATCACCAACACAGAGGATAGCTGCTTCCTACATAGATACACAGCCTATTCCAAGATTTTTAATGTTTGGGTTGTACCTAGAAAAGGTACATCCTATATCCAATTTAGTGATTACTGCTCCATGATTATGTCTGCAACTGGCATGTCCTATATCCAATTCAGTGATTACTGCTCCACAATTATCTATCTAGCTTATGACAGGTGTTGAGGTTTTCCCATTAATTTATTATTCCTGGTTTTCCCATTAATTTATTTAATCAAAACTTCTGTTTCTGAAACACGAGATCTAATAGTAAAGCCTTTAGAATGATTATTTAGTCTTTAATACCAAACGCCATCACTACAAACCTCTAAATGAATAAATCAGTCACATCCTACTGGTACTAGCGGTTGCCTTTATGACACGAAGGATCTCTAACCCAGGTGAATCCATAGGTCCACACATTACAACCACACAGTCTAACCATGAGGTACTATCACCCCTTATACCAACTGTTCTGTAATGTAAGGTAGCTCCTAGCTTGGTAACTGCTATATTTACATAAAATATTTACTGTTAGTAGTTTGGGGGTTTAGCGCAGGTATCAGCTTCAGATTTCAAAAGAAGGCTACACTTTCCATTTCGGGAAATAACTCCTACTTTTTTCAAAACATCAGGAAAAAATATTTCATATAGGTTTAAGTTTCACAAAAACCAGAGGTTTTGTAAAAGAATTTTCATCCCTCAGTTCATCCTTTCACTGTCCAAAGACACAATTTTCATTTTTAGTCTCTCATCTTTGGTATCAATATTTCACTTATGAACCTTCCCTTTGATTTCACATAATGAAGCAATTTTAGATTAGAATAAAAAAATTCCTCCTGAATTAAGAATGCTATTAACAGAGGGTCTTCTCCACATAGGAAAGTAGAATCTCTTTATTAGGCTCCAAAATGTCAAGGAGTTACATGTTTCTGGGGCCATAAACCTTTGCAACAGCAAAACGTAGGGAACTGTTCTAAGTGTAAATTAAGAGTCTCCAATACTTAATAGGGCTCTTTCCAAGATAAAGCATGCCTCAATTCGTATTATAAAGTCTAACTATTTGATCCATACACAGATGCAGCTTATAAATTATACATATATAGTATCATTTTTTCACTAATAAAATAAGCAGTACTACCAACAAAATAAAGTGCTAGACAGTGTCTTAAAGGTAGTTTGGTTTTGCAGGTTTTTGGGGTTTTTTTAAACAATGGGAAGTCCACTCATGAATAAGGTGTATTTTGTTAAGCATATGTGGTGGATAGCTCAGAGACACCACAAGAGCACCACAAAAGGTGCAGCAGCATAGTCTGACTTTCAGCCAAGGCCACCTCCCAGCTACTGAACATTGTGTTAAACGTTTAGTGATAAGGTGTTGCATAATGCAATTCTCCATTGTATTTAATTGTAAGTACTTGTAGTGTTTGAGATAAGACACTGGCTGCCATTGCAAAATTATTGTGAAGAAACAGTTCAACTTTTACTTTACTTAAGAAATCGGTATTTACTTAAGAAATTGAATCAGGTTTTCTCAAGGTCTATTCAACTCTTATCCAGCTAAACTCTCAGAGAGAGTGGATATTCATAACTTCTTATTATTCCATCATGTGATGCTAGTTGGGATGGATTGAGGATCTTATGATGATTTACTGATTTATGAAAAGCAGAGAGGTTTCTGCCAAAATTCCATGCTGAAATCTAGAATAGATCTAGAGTTTCATCTCTCCCCATTACAAGAAGAGGAGGGTGGATCCAGGTCTGGACTATGATGCCAGATTTTCTTCTTAAACCATCATTACACAAACAAAAGGCAGAAAAGACAGCAGCTTTTGTGCTCAGTGATGACTGCTGTTTAGGGAGGGCCTAGCAGATCAGAGAAACCATGCATGAAATATTCAGGTTGATTTTGTCTGTTAAAAAAAAAAACAACAATAGCACTACACTGGTATCAGGATAACATGTCAACAAGAGGGGAAGCAACTGTCTTCCTACAACAGCAGTTGCAGAAAACATGGGCAAATAAGCAGGTGAAAGGAACTTCTGGAACTGAAAACCTTTACTGGGGTCCCAATTGCAGAGTATGCTCCTCTGGTATTTTAGAGGATGGCTGTTGTCTCCACAGCTTTGTGCACAGCCCACTCATCCCATGGTACCCAATCTCTTCAAGTTGTGTCTCTTCACCTCAATATAACCTTTATTTGTTGTTAGCCAAAAGCAGGTACCTCTTCTTCAGCATTTACAAACGCACACTTCATCACTGCACCTGAATGGAACTGGGCAACACTTCACAACATACCAGTTGCACCAATTTGCAGTAACGTAATGCCCATCTATCACACGAGATTCACTTTTACAGGTCCTGTGCTCTTTTCACATCTATTTATTTTTAATACTGATAGATATACAAATGGATTTCTTGCTGAATTTTCTCAAGAAAGTCTCACTTTAGGATTCTCTAGTGTTTTCCTTCCCAGAGTAAAGAAATGAGAAAAGAAGCCCGACAGCCTCTGTCTCCAAACTAATTGCTATGTAATAATTTTTGATAAGAAATAAACAGTTTATGTATATCTATATACATATAAAAGAAAGAAAACAGTGTCTGTGCATATATTTATTTTAAAAGATATAACTATTTCAAGTCATACATACCCACAGGTCCTGGATCTGTTTCTGGCTCCACCCTGACTTCCTGCAATAGTATGCCTGTTTTGGTTACGGCAGCTCCTTCTGCGAAGGTTTTTATTGAGTAATTCTACAGTACCCAGCCCTGGAGGCAGCCAAGGAGCCTCTGCAGAGCCAGCTCTGGGAGACCCAGGGCTGCCAGCACAGCAAGTCACCCTGCACGGACGGGGTGCCCTGGCATAGAGTCTGCCTGCCGCAGGGGGGCTGGCCCACGTAGCTGGAATTATCAGTTATGATAAGTGTGTCTGTTACGACACAGTTAATGCATTTTTAAATGCTTATTTCTAATTACTTGGTCTAAACCACGAGAGCTATTACTATTAAAAGACTAACATAAACTTGCAGGTTTCTCGGGTGATTTTTTTTCTCATTTCTCACAATTGTTTTTTTCCAACTTTATCTAAATTACTAATGGCTTAATTGTTATCAAAAAACAAAAGCGAAATTGACCAGCTGCCTCCAAAAGGTATTTAAGCTGCCTTTGACCTCCAGCTTGCACAGAAAAAGCTTATGGTTCTACCACAGAAGACATGATCCCCCAGCTAATATGACAATAAAGCAGACTGGGGAAAACAATTTGTTAGTCGTATGATTCATTTATTATTCAAATGTAATGATTAATTAAATCCCTACCGATACCCTTACTTTAAAAAAAGAAAACTTACTCTGCTTCATAATTATCACCACTTGAACCATCTCTTCACTACACCAACCTTAAGAAAAGGAGACACTGCAGAAACATTCTTCCACAAATTCAAACTCTAATAACACTTTGTATTTTATTAATTAAATTATTCCATCTTTAACGAAGTATCCAGAGTCTAAAAAGAACAGTCCAGGACTATGAGATTCTTGATTTATACTAAAAGAAATGCTGAAAAAGACTGTATTCAAATTAGCAAATTGAATTCAAGTATAGCGCCCAAGCCAACATAACGCAAATGATTGGAAAGTGATTCTCAACAAAAAGCGGACAGCTAACAAAAGTCCGTATATCAATGCTTTTTTATAAAACCTTTAACAATTAAAAATCATGCTCAACATTTCTAATGCCACCACACAGAAAGGCTTTTTCCCCTCATACAAATAATACATCTACTGCTGAGAAAGGTAGTAGTTTGCAAAGAAATATCACAGTATCAATTTAGTCCTCAGAGAGATCAGATTTATGCTATGTTACTTCAAAAAGAGTATGTTAACTTATCATTAATTCCATATATGCTTAAAACACTCACAACTCTGGATACAGTTAAATAAAACCACAAAAAAGCACCACAAACAATAACAAAAAACACCACCCCAAAAACCTACCCAAGTTTTGATAGCCAGTTACTAATAAGTGAAAGCACTAATTTAGAGGGAGACTCCTACCAACTTAGGAAAGCTCAGGTTCACCTAAGAAGTTTAAGGCTCACTGTTTATAGCTTCCAAAACAACAGGGTTTTTAATCAAATACACATGAAGTTTTTAAATAAAGGAGAAAAACACTCTTTTCTCATAAGAAAAATTTTGAGAAAATTAAATAAACCTAAAAGGCAGTATTTCTATAGGTACATCTATAATTTCTGATTTCAACAGAAGTTGCATAAAAGATATAGCAGTACCTATTATTACTGGGCCATTAAAATCACAGTACTTTGGTCAAGTATCACTGTTCCCCTTTTGGAAAGTTCTGAGAAAAGCAAGCAGCATTCAGAAACATATTAACTTCTCTAAGAAAGTTTTGCATCAAAACTCTGCTTTTAAACCTTTATTTTTTAAACAACAACAACAAAAAATTGTCCACTTAAGAAAGTTGTCACCATCTTACATTTCAGAATACAAAACTGAAAAAAATCCCTATTAAAAAAAAAGACAGGACTTCAGCCAAGTATTCAGCTACTTATTGCTGTAGTTGTAACTCAAGTCCATTGAAACCCTTGTGTTTTGGTCGTTTGTAGCGAAAACATGTTTGGAATACTAGCAGCAATAGAAAACCCCTTTAAAACCTAGACATAGTTACACTGCTGAGTGAAAATTAGCAGAAACCATAATCATTGGAACATAATAAAGTATCCTGTAAAATTACAATTGAATTGGCAGCTAGAAAAACAGGGTTGATTTAAAATGCTAACCCAAAGCCTTATGTGGGCCTATGCCAGTAAAGTCCATTTTCCCCCACTAGATAAAGCCGAGAACTACAACACTACTTGAAACATAACAAATGCAGTCTTCACTCCACTTCATCTCCCCCAGCCTTCTCCAACAGGTAGAATACAGAAGATTGAAATAATGGCCAATTCCAAATTTAGGCGATATGCACAAATATACTGTTGAACAAAGTTTGGACAGCAAACAGTACACCTGAGTTCGGTCATACAAACTAACTTCTGTAAATAGCGTTAGACGAATATATCCATGTCTCTAATATGAATCTAGATGTATTTTCTTACAAAACGCATTAATAGAAATCTCCAAGCAAATACATACCATACAATAGCAAAAGCTTTAAGCCCCATTTAATAAGATGACTTTCAGATTAAAAATAGAAGGCAATTAAGATTTACTCAAAATTACAATTAAGAAAAGCATTCACAGTGCAATATTGAAACTGTCACAAAGTTAAGAAAATACTGATATCAAAGTACAATCACAATGTTAAAGTAGACAAAACTAGCATATCTTGTAAAATTAAAAGGAATGAACACAACATAGGGGACATCTCACATCTCATGTCCCTGCTCTACATATCTCATTTCCTAGTCTTCAGAGTCATAAGCGTGTCTTTTGGACATTGGTAGAAATCTTGTTAAAACTAAGAGGTTCATTCTTCTTTGTAGAACAGATTTCAAAGCCCAGTTACTTCTTGAAGATAGGTTCTTCATCACTGCACAATTTCGAAGTAGTGCAATATTGCCATGATGTGCTGAGGCATGAACACATAGCCTGTGTAGAGTGCCATTCCAACAATGGAAACTAGCATGGAATCTGAATTACAGTTGAGGAAAAAAGCATTTGAAATAGGAAGTGCATGAGACATCACAAACTATAGCATTAAAACTTTACCGGTTACTATCTTATAATGTTATCTTTTTCAATCAGACAAGGTCAACTGCATTCAGAAATTACAGCTATAGGAAGAACCTACTGAATACCCAAAACCAGAACACCGGTAGAAGCAATTAGCTGAATTGCAAAGGATGCCTTGCAAGTTATCCACTGCCTTGTCACAGACACAAGAGGACAGGCCAGAGCACAGGAAGCATGATGGAGAACAGAAAATGGGTACTTAGAAGACACCGGTTTTTACATGCATCTTCTTAGGTGTTGAGCAATTCTGCAGAAGCCAGCCCCATCCGGCCGAGCAGAAAAAAGTCAACCATCACAAAAATCCAAAACAAAACAAAACCACAATAATATGATAGCTGTACTGAATACTACCATTCTTATTTGTGGATGACCTCATTTTTAAGCAGACAGCATTAGATGCTGATCTCAACTTCCTGGAATAGAATGACCAAAGAAATTCAATTTACGATGCACAAAACACATCTGGTGTGAAAGTTGTACTGTTAGCATAATAGTCAGGAAACCTCACATCCATTTCTAGCTTCCAGTGTCCTCTAGGGCTCTAAGTCACTACAATATTTGGTCCGTTTCTCCATCAGTAGTACTTTACTATAGCAGATCACACTGCAAAACAAACTTTACATGAAGCTATTATCTAAAAAATCTTAAGATGACCACTTTATTATCTGCATGCCTAACAGAAGTGAGACAATAGCTTATAAGTATATGTACAACTGGACTTTTGTCAAGCTCTAGGGCTCTTGAAGCTTTATCTAAAAACATTAGATTACTGAAAGATTACATCACTGAAAGCTTAAGGTTTCGGAAATTCAAAAATAATGGAAATTAATAAAAATCTGTTGATTTCATCCAACTACCTGCAGAGATTCAGTAAACTTAGACCAAAGCACTATAAAAAGCACTGGAGATTAACAAGCGTGATAACCCCAGACAGCAGTACTCAGTTTCCGCAGGTGAAACCAGAGGAGCTGTGCATGCTCTGCATCTTCGTGAAATCAAGTCACCACACACAAGTGTAACAAATGCTCTATGACTGACTTCCCTATGGCAGAACAGAGGTATTAGCTGTGCTTATTAGAGCATACTAGCTGCTTAGTGTATTTATAGTCCCGGAAGACAGTAAGAGATACTAAAATGAAGGTCAACACATAAATCCACATTTCCGTATCAGCGCTCTCCTCCGATGCTGGAGCACAAGCAGCAGTGTGACACGCAGCAGAGCCACACACCATTAGCTCCCAAGGCCGTTGTGTCTGCGCTGCAGCCGTGCACCACCTGGCAGACACGGCCCACCCACGGCCAAAGAGTCCGGTCTAAGGACAAAAAAAAGTTTTGCTGATCTGAGATCACAAGCGATACTTGTGCCACTCATTACATTTGTCAGTTATGTGGCAATTACAATATGAGCATTTCATGAAAGTAAATATGCATACACTTTCACTTAAGTTAAAAAGGAAAAAAATATTCATGACTAATATAATGGCAGGGAAAACAAAAATTAAGTTTCCTCAGTGAAACATAAATGGCATAAAAGGAGAAAAGTTAGTTAGCAAGGAATACATTTTGAAGGTAAGAACCCCTAGCTAAAGAACTGTGCACGGTAAGTCTACTAGAAAAGTAGTAAGTTTTATAATCTCCATTTCTACTGACTTGACACAGGAAAAAAATAAATGTCTGATCACACCACTGTAACTTGGGCAACCACTCTTACATAACAAAAGTGAGTTTCTTTACAGAACTGAGCAGTATGTCAGTAAAAGCACCTTCTCACTACTACTTACACCCTTCTCTTTGTTAATGTTTTCATTCATTTCTCTTTGCCTCTCAGCATTAACTGGAGATGGCTCAGGGTCATTCACACTGAAATATCGTTTTAAGTCAAGATCAAAACAGCCACACTTCAGAGATAAATACTTGCAACCCCATAACAATACTTGAGAAAATATACTACTGCTAAAAAAGGACCAAGTAAAGAAGAAAACCTGTAAATAGTCTTGATACAGATGCCTTTACATGAGCATCTATCAAGTTCTTCCACTCCAAAAGAGACAAACTTAACAGTTCGAGGATTAAATACCTATGTAAGAAAAGCCACAAGACAAAGCACCATGAAAACCTAGGCTTGCAAGGTTTTGCAGCGTGCACATTTACTTTCCTCTAGGCAAAAATACAACAGAAAGCACTAAAGACACCTTAACAAAAAAGCTCGGGATTTCAGTACAAAAGCCGGAACTGCCATAACTCTAGAGATATAAACTTGTGCCGCAGGAGAAACGAACTAGGTCGTCAGACGCCCGGACACGGGATGCGAAACAGCTGAATGAGGATTATTCCCAGATCGGGCAACATATTAGTTTGGGAGGGAGAGGAGCTGAGCCCCTGCCTGCGAGGAGGGGACAAGGCTCGGTTCCGAGCGGAGGCTACCGCTCCTCTGCCCACTGCGTGCTCCGGCCGCGCTCGGCACCTCAGGCCGGCTGCCCCCGGCCCCGCGCCGCTCCCCTCCCGGCCCGGCCCGACCCGACCCGACCCGACTCTCCTCCACGCCCGGCAAGCCCCGCCGGGGCAGCGCCCTCAGCACGGCCACGGCCGAGGCACTCCCCCGGCACCGCGCCCGCCGGCCCGGCGGAGCCGCCACACCCGCCCGGCCGCCTCGGGGCAGCCCCAGAGCCGCCGCCGGGCAGAGCGGGGGCGGTGGGCAGCCCCCAGCGCCGCGCACACACACACACTCCGCCAGAAGGATACTGAAAACGGTGCGTTCCCAGGGCTCCAGCATGTAGAGCGCGGTGACCAGCAGGTACTGGTAGTACAGCCACGACATCTGCTTCAGCGCCGACACCAGCGCCATGGCGCTCCCCGCCGCCAGCGGCACCGCGCCGGGCCCAGGCCGAGCGCAGCCGGGGCGGTGCAGCCGGGACAGCCCTCCCCCGGCCCCGCCCCGCGCCCGCCGACGCGGAGAGGCCGCGGCCTGTGGGGCCTGCACGGGGCGGTACCGGTGATCCCACACCCCGACAGAACGTCTGGAGCACCCCCGGCACACCGGTACCTCGGCCCTCCCCGAGGAACGCCCACATCGGGCCCGATCTCATTACATTACGCGGCTGGCGCTGAACCCGGTAACCTGCCAGCCCGAGTCACACCTCCTGTTCAAATTTGATCTGGGAATCGCGGCAGACCCGAAGCCGGTGCTCGGCAAGGCCCACGGGAGGCATGTTAAAAATGCTCTGCACAGGCCTTCGGTTTCGTTGTCAGACGGTAAAGCCCACCCAAAAACATGGCTCGGATAAATGCGACCTTAAGATCGGCCAACTGTGATGACATTGATCCGTATGAATAGAAAAAAAAAAAGAGGTGATAGATCAACTGTTTACTGTGACTGTTGCTAACTTTTCACTTCCCTAAGGCACTTGGAGCCAGAAACCAGAGGGTGTGGGACACCCCTGCCCTGACTGCTAATTTGCCTAAGATCAATAAGAAATTCCCAGAGAGCAGTTTGGGACTACATGATTAGGAAGGCTCTTGACAGTTTATACTGCCACTCTAGAAGGCACGAGTTGAAAGCCAGCTGGAAAGGGATGTACACAATCATCAGGCACCTTAACTAAGCAGAGCATGCATTGCAACCACCAGGCAGCAGGTCCAGGTCACCAGCCAGGACCTCATTTGCCAAGTGTGCACACCGTAGCCGCCGATTAGAAACTGAAGTCGACCCACTATACTCACTCTGCTTGGTAAATCAATTTGCAGTTATGTCACTGAGCAGTGATTCTGTTCCTGCAGCCACCCCACCGCTACCTTCACCTGTGCTGTTTGTACAATGAAAAACAAGGAAATACAACCACAGGAGGATGCACATATGAGTTATTTACACAGCTGCAAAATAAAACTACAGGACCAGGAGATTACTGTGAAAAAGAAGAGCAGCTGGCAGACAGAACTTAAGACTCTACTATTTCATGTGGCAGGAATCTGAAAAGGGATTTAATTCACCCAGAAGATATTTAGACACACTTTGCAGATTTATTAAAAGACAAGTAGAAATGAGAGCACTCACAGTTAATACCCCCACACAACTGCCTACAGGAGCTGTTGCCCCTACCCAAGACTGCCGTTGCTTTTTGCAATTGCTGCTGGAGGAGCCCTGTGTTCGTGTAGCTGCTTGAAAAGGCAGTGGTAATCATGAAAGGCGCCTTTCTGTAGAAACATGTCCAAAGTTCAAGGACAAGTGGGGTATTCAGCACAAGTAAAGCATTATTCCCATTCTAAGCTGCAAGAGCATTATCAACATGGAGCAAACAAGTCCCAGTCCTGTCTGCTCCTATGATTTCTAACAAGGAGCTCTGCAATTCAAGTGGTAAGGCAAACAAACCTCAGCAGCAAGAAAGGACCTGGGATAAGAGCAAAGGTAATATCTAGAGGTGTGCTGTCTTCAAAATCCCCCACTGCATCTGCCCTAACACCCCAGGTGGGTGGCCCCTTACACTTTTTTGGTGTGGTGCATCTTCATGAGAGGTTTTTTTGCTAGTTAGCCCCTTCAGAAAATGGACAATATTCCTATGTATAGAGTTTCCCCTCCTTCACCAGCTCCGTTTTACCCCTGCTTAGGGACTGTCATCACTTAGTAATAATCCTGATACCACCCACATCAATTCTTGAGCCCTTGAACTACATTCCCATGTGCTCATGTTTCCAGCAGGTCAGTGCCAAGACCCTTAACCTAGAGAGCCTTCATGCTTCACCTGGAACATGAAGAGAGCTACATCGAGGCCAGCATGCCTGAAAGCACAGACCATATGCTCTGTATCACATCTGTTCCTCCATACTTCTACCAAGAAGAAACAGTTCTTCGTACATTCAAAATTTTCCTTATGCACCTCCTGGCTCATGGCACACAGTAATAATTTCTCTCACTTTAAATGATCCCACAGCTATCTAAGACTGCAAGTCGGACACTCCACTAAGGAGTCTGACTAGTAGATAGCAAAACTGAGATTGAGATCTTGTTTCAGGCATATCCCAAACCTCAGAACCCACATGGCTCCATTTTATTTGTAGGTTGCACATGCAGAGGAAGGCACATCATACTGGCCAACCAATTAAGTGTTCAGCAGCTGCATCAACAGTTCTGTACTTCATCAAGCAGAAGATAAGTTTCTGCTGACTTGAAAATAGTAATTCAATGTTTTTCTCATGTAATCCTGACAGAAGAACCAACATGTTTATTTCTTCCTAATCTCATTAACAGTGTAGAACGAGTGTGTGTAGATTAGTAAAATACTACACCAGGGACTACAAAAGGTAACCAAAGAGTCACAAGATTTTATTATAATCTAAGGCACAAAAGAAGTATGTTCTTCCGGTTCTTGCCTCCTAAGTTCAAATATTTCTGACAATTCCTCAAAGCACATATAACAAATTATTCCTGGTACTATTACAACAAAAAGCACAAAGATGAGATTTTTTTTCAGACCATTGTTCAAAGTAAACTTAAAAACATATCAGGCTATAGAGAGGAGATTTACTATAAAAAACAAGAGTTCACCTCTTAGGCATACACCTGGAAGAAGAGAGGGAAGGATCCGTTGTTAACTATGCAGTGGCTTCATAAATATCAAGTAGCAGAAGCTCTTTATGCTTCCATAAAGAAGATGTAAATGTACTAAAGAAACAGAAAAAGCATGCAAATTAGCTCTATGGACATAGATCCGATCATAAATTTCTTCTTAAAATGTGTCATCGTAAGGAAAAAGGACAATAAAGTTCAGTACTTTCCTCATATACATATTTATATGTAGAACACTCAGCTGTATTATTAGACATCAATATGCTGATTTAAATGATCCATTGCAGAACAATCCATGCCAGGAAACTCCATATAAGCTCATTTTCCTCTCTATATAAATGAAGTTTCAACTTTTTGAGATCTTAGTGAATGAAAAATCCAAATACGGTGACAATTCCTTCTTTATCAAAGTGTCCTGGTTTTGGCTGGGACAGAGTTCCTAGTCTTCTCAGTAGCTTGGATTTAGTATGAGAAAAATGTTCTCACGAACACTCTGATGTTTTGGTTGTTGCTAAGTGGTACTTTTCCTAAGTCAAGGACTTTTCAGTGTTTCATGCTCTGCCAGTGAAGAGCTACACAAAAAGCTGGGAGGGAGCATGGCCAGGACAGCTGACCAAACTGGCCAAAGGAATATTCCATACAATAGAATGTCATGGCTCCGTATATAAACAGGGGGAGTTACATGGAAGGGGGTCGACTGCTGCTCAGGGACAAGCTGGGTATCAGTCAGCAGGTGGAGAGTTGTGTTGTGGGTGGGTTGACCCTGACTGGATGCCAGGCACCCACCAAAGCCGCTCTATCACTCACCTCTGCAAGTGGACAGGAGAGAAAACATAGGGAAAGATCCATGAGTTGAGATAAGGATCAGGAGCGATCACTCATCGCTGTCATGGGTAAAACAGACTGAACTTGGGAGATATTAATTGAATTTATTACTAACAAAATCAGAGCAGGATAATGAGAAGTAAAATAGATCTTAAAAAATCCTTCCCCCCACCCCTCCCTCCTTCCCTGGCTCTACCTCCTCCCACCCAGTAGTGCAGAGAGATGGGGAATGGGGGTTACAGTCAGTTCATCACACATTCCTGCCACTGTTCAGGGAGAAGAGTCCTTTCCCTGTTCCAGTGTGGGGTCCCTCCCACAGGAGACAGTCCTTCACAAACTTCTCCAATATGAGTCCATCCCATAAGCAACAGTTCTCCACAGACTTCTGCAACATGGGTCACTTTTCCACAGGGTGCAGTCCTTCAGGCACAAGCTGCTCCAGCATGGGTCTCACAGAGGGTGACAAGTCCTTCCAGGAAACCTGCTCCAGCGCGGGCTCCTCTTTCCATGGGTCCACAGGTCCCTGCCAGGACCCTGCCCCAGCATGGGCCTCCCATGCGGTCACAGCCTCCTTTGGGCACCTGCTCTGACTTGGGCTCCTCCACGGGCTGCAGCTGCATCTTTGCACCCCTGTGGACCTCCATGGGCTCCAGGGGGACAGCTGCTTCACCATGGGCTGCAGAACCTCAGCTCCAGCGCCTGGAGACCTCCTCCCCCTCCTCCTCCACTGACCTTGGTGTCTGCAGAGTTGTTCCTCTCACACATTCTCACTCTGCTCTTCTCTGGCCACAACTACTTCTGTGCAGTAACTTTTTTCTTTCTTAAATATGTTATCACAGAGGCATTACCACCATTTCTGACTGGCCCAACCTTGACTAGCAGTGGGTCCATCCTGGACAGCTGGCACTGGCTGTCAGATATGGAGGAATTTTCTAGCAGCTTCTCACAGAAGCCATCGCCACTACCAAAAGCTGGCCAGGCAGTAGTGCATCACTTACTTTCCCTCCCCTTACTCTTATCATCATCATAATCATATTTGGTTTCAGCTATTAAATTGTTCTTATCTCAACCCATGAGGTTTACCTTTTTTTCCAAATTTTCCTCCCCACTGAGGGAGGGGGGAAGTGATCAAGCAGTTGTGTGGCTTAGTTGCCAGCTGAGGTTAAACCACAACACAAACCTACCTGTGTGCAAATCTACCAAGAACACAAGCCTAAGGACACCCAACATGCTGACTTAGAGTTGTTTATCCCATGCCATATAAACATGATCAGTGCAGCTACAGAGAACCAGTTACTGTACAGTATTTATTCCAAGGAGCAGTTCTAATACATACTCAGATAATGGATAGTATATATACAGGGAATGATCATCATATACAGATCTTACATGATATTTACAAAATTTTAAATCACCAATGATGCAACCACCTGACGGTAGAAAAGAATATTGCTCTCAAATGCACGCAGTTAACTGTATTCCTTTCATAAAGTTTCCAAAAGTCCAACCATTAGAAAGTTCTCTGATGAAAATGC